CTTGTGGGGACCTAGACTCCCTTCAATCCAAAGAAGCCTTGATGGGTTGATCTCTGGTCAATGTAAATTCTTCGCATCCGTCCCATGATATTTTGTAATTTGGGGAAGCAATAAGTTCAAATATGTTATCTCTTCGTTATCCATCCCCTGATTTTCCGGAGTGTCGATCCGCTTCCATTTCTGATTTCAATTTCACACCCCCGGCGAAATCTATCTTCTCGCCTTCCCGGGCTATATATACGAGCCACGGCTATGGATCAAACAACAACCCACTTTGTCTCAAACCTTCTGCATCCTTAGTATAGTTCCTGCTTTTCCCGTAGGTTTGAGATCATGGAGAACAACAAGAGGTCTGCTGAGGAGGCCCTTAACGGATCTGCATCATCGTGCCAGCGCCTTCATCGCCAAGAGGGTGCAACTTGGGCTGCTCCTATCGTTCCGGAGCAAAGGGCCAACTCTGTTCAGCCTTTGGGTCACCTTCAGCACCAATTCGCCGCCAGCTCCCCCGCTACCGGAGGAGGTAGATCAGTAATGACGATCTGCTAGCCTCCATCGATCAGACTAACCAGAATCTGGCCAGCTGCCTCTCCCTTGCAGAATCGGCATTGGTCATGATTCAAGGCCGATCATCCCCTGAGGCTAGCCCGGTGGGGGAAAGGTTGGCCAGAGCTGAAGCCAGAATCATGGGTGAGACATCTACCACAACTCTTCTGTCTTCTTCTTAATTTTGCCTTCAAGATTTCTGATCATTCTTTCCCTAAATCTTTTTAGATCTAACTGCTCAGTTGGAAAGCCTTCGATCAACTGCGGATCACGCGGCGGGATTTGTCAATGCCAGGGGCACCGTCCTGGTGGTTCGTTTGCATGACATCCTGAACCGTGTCAGGGAGGTCGCTCTTCATGGCGTTCATCATGGTGCTGCCATGGCGTTGGCTGCTGCACAAGCCCGTTTTGGCCACAATCTTCGCCTTCTTCCACATAGTTTTCTAGACACGGCGCACCCTAGGGAGCATGAGCGTTTGGTTGAGGATTTTTCTAGCGCCGCCAACTCTGTAGCCTTCAACACCCTGGCCGATGATATAGTAAGCAAAGTGTTTTCCGGCCCGTAGCTTGTAATAGGGGATATTTAGCAAACAACTTCTTCATCTTGAGTGATTTTCTTTTGTTTCGTACTTCATACACATCACTTCGTCCGTGTTTGCTTTACTTCTATAGGCGATACACATCGTACCGGCTTTTACCCCTTCGGGTTTATTTTTGCACTAGAGGCGATACCTTTCTGATATCGGCTATTAAAGCTGACGACCGAACAAATTGGTTATTAAGTATTAATCCAAACGCTAGGGTAATATTTCTTTAGATATTTCCCATTGATTGCTCGGCCAAATTCTTCCTCTCCTCTTAGTGTTTCCAAAATATAAGCATTATCGGGCGCACAACGTTTGATCCGATAAGGTCCTTCTTAGTTAGGTGACCATTTGCCAAATTTACTATCCTTTGACCCGATCGGCAATTTCACTTTCCAGACCAAGTCTCCTTCAGAGAATTGCTTAATCTTGACCTTTTTATTGTAATATTTTTCAACCCTCAGTTTATTGGCTTCGATATTTTCAAGAGCACGCAGCCGAAGGCAACTCAAGTCCTCCAAATTGTCTATCATAAGATTCTTGTAGATTTCGGCTGACAAATCATTCTGTAGCGTAACACGCCTCGATCCAGTCCAAACTTCCCAAGGAAGAACTGCATTATGGCCATACACAAGTTCGTAAGGTGACGTTTTAATTGATCCATGACAGGCCATCCTATATGCCCACAATGCCTCATTTAGCGACGAATGCCACTTCCTTGGCTGTTCCTCGATCTTTTTCTTGATCAGCTTAATCATAATCTGGTTGGACGCCTCTGCCTAGCCATTAGCCTGAGCATATTAAGGAGAGGAATTCAGTAGCTTGATTCCCATACTGGCAGCAAAATCCTCGAACTCTTCTGATGTGAACATTGTCCCTTGATCGATAGTTATAGTTTGAGGAATCCCAAAACGATACACTATGTGTTCCCTGACAAAATCAATCATGTTCTTTGAGGCGACCGTCTTCAAGGGAATTGCCTCAACTCATTTAGTAAAGTAATCTGTTGCTACCAATATGAACTTATGTCCTTTGCTTGAAGGCGGAAAAATCTGGCCCATTAAATCAATTCCCCGACCTCAAAATGACCATGGCTTGATTATTGGATTCATGGCCGATGCAGGCGATCTCTGGACATTACCAAAACGTTAACAGTCCTGGCACCCCTTGTAATATTCAAAACAATCTTCCAATATCGTTGGCCAGAAATATCCAGTTCTGCTAATAATCCATTTCATTTTATAAGCCGATTGATGAGCTCCACATATCCCTTCATGCACCTCACCCATCAACACCTTAGCTTCATCTTGGTTTAAGCATTTGAGCAACACCACATCGACTGTTTTATAATATAACTGATCATCTAACAAAACATACTTAGCTGATTTATACCCTAGCTTTTGGGTAACTTTCTGAGACGGATCTCTAAGGTAATCGGCTATTTCGACTCTCCAATCATCACTTGAGGTTTCACCACTCAAGACTTCTTGAAACACTCGATATCCTGATGCACTTTGAGCTAGACGATTAGCCTCTTGGTTTTGTGCTCTCGGAATATGTTGGAAAGAGATATGAAGAAACTCCTTGAGCAACTTTTGGCACTCATCATAGTATCCTTTCAAAGTCTCTTCTTTGCACTCATATAGGCCGATCAACTGATTAATAATTAACTGTGAATCTCCAAATACTTCAATTGCTTCGGCCTTTACTTCGTGAAGAAGTTAAAGTCCCTTAAGAATAGCTTCATACTCCGCTTGATTGTTAGTAATCATTGGTTCAGTTGAAAGAGCAAACTCAAAACTTGCCCCCCGAGGTGAAACAATAACAATACCAATGCCACCACCTTGCTTGCATGATGATCCATCAAAGAATAACATCCAAGGCATCGGCTCTACATAACCAATACTTGCCCTTTGACTGCGTTAGCTGATTCGTACTTCAAGTCAAATTCCGATAACGCAAGAATCCACTTTCCCACTCTTCCATTCAGTATTGGCATTGATAACATGTGCTTGATCACATCAGCCTTGGAAACAACTATACACTTGGCCGATAATAAGTAGTGTCGTAACTTAGTGTAGGAGAAATATAAGCACAAGCATAACTTTTCGGTGGGAGAATATCTTGTCTCTGGATCCAGTAGTCTTCTACTCAAATAGAAAACAACTCTCTCTTTTCCTTCAAATTCTTGCATCAAGGCCGATCCAATTGTCTTGTCATCAGCCGATATGTACAACTTAAAAGGCTTACCTTGCTGAGGAGGGACCAGTACAGGTGGACACTTCATGTATTCTTTTATTTTTTCAAACGCCCTTTGTTGTATGTCACCCCACTTGAATTCTTGATTACTCTTCAACTTCAACAAAGGAGAAAACAGCAGGATCCTTTCCGATAAATTGGAAATGAATCTTCTGATGAAATTAATCTTACCAAGCAGAGGTTGCAACTCTGTCTTAGTAGTTGGGGAAACTGCTTCATCAATTGCTTTTACGCTTTTTTGACCAACTTCGATTCCCCTCTCGTGGACCATAAATCCCAAGAATTGTCCAGCTGACACTTCGAAAGCACATTTATTGGGATTCATCTTTAGACCATGTTTTCTTGTGCATTCCAGAGTCTCTCGCAAATCAGCTAAGTGCTCTTTATACCCTTTGGATTTTATCATCACATCATCGATGTAGATTTCAACAATTCTACCGATCAACTTATGGAAAATGTAATTCATCGCCCTTTGATAAGTTGCACCGACGTTCTTCAGACCAAAGGTCATCACAACCCACTCGAATAAACTGATTGCGCCAGGGCACCTGAAAACGGTCTTTGCTATGTCTTCTTCAGCCATGAAAATTTGGTTATACCCTGCATTGCCATCCATGAAGCTAATAACCTTATGTTCGGCTGCTGCGTCTACTAACATATCAGCTATCGGCATCGGATAACCATCCATGGGTGTGGCTTTGTTCAGATCCTTGAAATCGACGCAAACTCTTAATTTTCCATTCTTCTTGTATACAGGGACAACATTCGATATCCATTCTGTATATCGGCATGGTCGGATAAACTTCGCCTCCAGTAACCTTTCAGTCTCCTTTTGATATCATCAAGCACGTTTAGGTTGAATCTCCTTGGAGCCTGTTTAAATGGCCGATATCCAGGTTTGATTGACAACCGATGTTCGACAATTGACCGGTCTAGACCAGGCATCTCATAGTACTCCCAAGCAACACATTCTTTAAATTCTTTTAACAAATCAACTAACTCTCGTTTATAAAAGAAACAGTTCAGGATAGAGGTTGACCGGATCGATGCAGCCGTACGAATAGAGGTATAAACCATGACGGTACTTACAGACAAGCAGTGGAGGTCGATCGTATCGATGCAGCCGTACTTGCTGAAGAACTCGCCGAGATCTACTCTACTCCTACTTCTAAGGGGTGGCCGGAGCCGAAAAAAGTAAATAACTTGTGTTTGATTGATTGTGTGTGTTTTACAATAGCCGAGGTTTGATATTTATACCCGGGACCCTCGCATGACTCCTATCTAAGCACGACTCACCACAATCTTTAGCCCTAGAGAAGATATTCCTAATTTAAGATAACTTGGACTTTAATCTTTTCTTTTTTGTAGAGTCCAACATGCTTTTGTCCCGGCGCCGATCGTAGCCTTTGTCATTATCTGCTGGCGCTACCTGAAGAAAGCCGATTCCAATGTTGCATTCGAACCAGTTGGTTCCGATCTGTACGCAATTGATTCCTTGATGACATGATCTTAGGAGCTTTCAAGTCCCTGCGACTCTTTTTCCAAATTTTGGTGTAAACAATCTTCAACTCTTCTATTTTCAGCATGTGATGAATGCAAAACTTCTAGTCCTATCTAGAAGTTAATTAATTCTTCTCTTTCGAATTTGTAATCTTGAGGAAACAAAGCCCAATAGGAGAAACATTGCTGAAGCTGAGAAGGTAGGTAATCATAGCTCAACTTCAGTGCAGGCATAATGTCATTCTTGCCGTCACTATGCTCCCATTCCTTACTATCTAAGATTCTTGTCCAGTGAACCGTGTCAAGTTGGGTTTTCAACAATCTGCCAACAGTTTTTGCTGCAAGAGGAGATCCCTTTAGTTTGTCAACTATCTTAAACCCAGTTTCAAGTAAGAATGCATGGTCCTTTCTAGATTGATCATCATGGCCAAAGACAATTTCCAAGAATAATTCCTTAAATTCTTCCTTTTCTATACCTTGTAAATATATTGAATGATCATTTTTCGGAACCATTATGTGTGCCTGTGCTGGAAATCTGAGTTGTGACCATAATTATATTACCCTGTACTTGTGATTTTCGGAATGGCACCAGTAGTCGTTTCCATTCATCCTCATCACTGCAATCCCATATATCATCTAATACAAGCAAAATCCTCTTATTTTTCAATCTTTGCCCAATCAACTCACCAGCAGTACCATTACTACTTTCACGATCAACTTTAGGGATATATCTTTGAATCTCTTCTAGCAGCTTATTCACATTAAAGTTTAGTGAGACACATGTCCAAACTCTGACATCAAAACGTTCTTGCACTTCTCCACTGTGATATATATGCTGTGCAAGAGTTGTCTTTCCAATGCCTCCTAGACCAACAATTGGAATGACTGTGAGAACCTCACTAGAATGTTTGCCCTCTGTGATATCACGTATGATGCTATTTAACATAAGCTCCCTTCCATACAGTTTTGGCTCTATACTTTCAGAGTTGGTGATGGGACGACTTTGTTCAATAATATACTGTCAGAACCCGGTAGTGTAATAATTTTAGAAACCTCTTGTCACAGGGTCTGCATTTTCTCAACAATATGCTGCATTCTTCGGGGGGCATCGACCCTATCAAACTTTGGTGGTTCATGGTCATCACTGTCATAGTCCTCATTGTGGGCACAACCTTCAGCACGCCGGTCGGCAGCATGGGAGGAGGCGTCCAGCATGTCCTGGATGCAAAAGTATTCCATCTCGTCCAGCATGTCCTCTGCGTCGTAGCAGAGGTCTTATAGCCGCAACAGATGCTCACTGAGGTCCGGATTGTCTTTTTTCCCTATTGAGGGTGGGTTTAAGATGCCTAGCCTTCGCGTACAGCAGCTCCAGCTGGAGGGCCTCGACGTTCTGGCCGAGGTTCAAGGTGGCTGCCCAGCCTGCCAAGGAAGCCGCCCCTTGATGATGAAGTGCATCCAGCGAACCTTCCGCACATGCCAAAACTGGTGGCTCGTGTAGTGATTGGGGTGGTGCAACCGCTGATTTCACCATGTCCACTCCAGTGGTCCTTGATGGTGCGTAATCCTTCATTATGCTTCTATTTAAAGCCACCACCGCATCCCTGCGCTGCACGTCCTGGGTGTCCATATAAATATATGCAACAAGCAGTTAGACTAACATACGGCACCTTCGTCCATGGAGATTAAAGGCGTAAGATATATACTTCCTCTATTTTTTTTATAAGACTAGCAAATATGCAAGTGCGATATACACGTGTTTGTAAAAACTATTTTAAATACAATGAAAATATTAATTGAATTTGTCAATATACAGTAAAAGTAGATGGCGAACAAGGTAAATTGTTTGTTTGTTAGGATGCCTCAGCTGCATATATTGTTGCACTTTGACATGTCACCTTTTTAAACTGCTGGTGTTGTCCCTGTCTTATCTTATTTTTATATTTTTGTCGATCCATCCTCGTATGGGTGGAGAACCCACGTCCTTGTATGGGTGGAGGCGTATGTATACAACATGTAGGAAAAGGAATTTTGAGTGGATTTTTTTCTAATCTAAAATTAAAAAGAGTTGAAAAGAGGGGTGAGGCGAGCGCACAATCGCATGAGTAGGCCTCTCAACGTACTCCCCCAATCGAGCGGTATTCTCTTATTTTGAGTGTCCCTATCTGTTTTTCTTTTCTTTCTTTATTTCTTTATTATCTCTTATTTTTCTCTTTATTTAGACCCGGTATTCTCTTTGTATCTTATCCATTCGTTCCCATGTTTCCACGGTCCACACAACTATGCCGCCGCCGCCCCTTTGTACAGCCTCGCGCGGAGACGCGGTCTCGACGGCAAAACGGTGATGTCGCCCGTTCCTAATCCTACCAGACTCGCGCGGCTAGGCCGTTCTAACGCCGCCGCCGGCTCCCCATGGCTCGGGCGGCCCGGACGCCGCCGCCCGGTAGCTCGCCCCGGCGTCTCGCTCCGTGGCTTGCGCGCGGAAGAATTCGTCGCTACCCCGTGGCTTGCGCGCGGAAGGAGCAGCAGCGTCCGTGTCCACCTCCCCAACCTCCGCTTCCGCTGCCCCTGGCCACCAACGGAAGGAAAACACTGTTCTTAACCCTGTTATGCTTATGGTGAAACGCTGCCAGAGGAAAACACTGTTCATGGCTGAAAAGTAGAAAGCTAAAACGGCTTCGGGAGCAGATCAAGAAGCTCCACCAAACAGGCGCAAAGTAAATGTTTTTATGATTCCTTGATTGATGGTATTTTTATTGAGTCAACATTTTTGTTGGTGCACATTTTAATTTATTTATCCAGAATTTGATAAGGCAGTACCTGAATATATGCTAGGCATTGGTGATATGTTTAGCATAGGAAGAGGTCTGCGATACATCTTATACATTGTTTGAAGGATAGTACGGTAGCAGTAACCCTAGGAGAACTTGTGTTTATACGGCACAAGTTCTGTAGAATCTGATCAAAAGCATATATTTGGGTCTTGCAATATAGATACATAGCTGATAAGTTTGGTGCTTGCATATTCAAACTTGAAAAGGAATAATGTTGAACTGCCAAGCTTGGGTGCTGTGAAGTTTGAAGGGGAATGTTTGTAGTCCGCAGACTCTCCTTAGCCCCTGATAAGAGTACAAGTAATTTGTAAGTAACTGTGGAAATCAAAATGGTTTTAAGATAGCGTTGTGTGAAGAAAGGGTGAAGTTGTATTTTGGCTTTACCTGTTATAGAACGGCTCAAAGCCTCTGTTTTTTTGATGATGCAGGCGACTTCATATTTTCTCCGAAGTCATCATCAGCCTGCTAAGTGTAAATGCATTAGCTGTTCATTATGGTTACATGTTAGTAAAGAAAGCTTTAAGAAAAGTAATACCGTTGTATTTTGTAGTCCTCTTTTAACGCCCAAGTTTTTATCTTCATCGTCGCAGTTATCAGTCCTTAAATTAGAACAATAAAATAGTTTTTTTTATCAATTAATATGAATATGAAACAGAGAACGAAAGATGCATATAAGTATATAATAATGAAGAGGAATAGTACTTATTTTTAGGATATTCTGTCACTTTATTGTCGATAGTTTGTTGGTATTGTACTTCTGATGGATCGGTGATGATAATCCCTTGTTGCTGATTTTTTCGCCGAATCTGTAATTTGAAAATAGTTGTGCACAACTAATGTTCAATTAAGATGAAAAAATAAATCAAAGCATACTAAATTATGGTTCTGAAGTTTCACCTTTTTTTGTTCAATTTGGATTGGTGATGGTAGGTTTATCTGAGTTCGTTGGAAATAACTTGCTGCAGGAAGAGGATTGGTCTTTTGAAATACTGGTACGTTTGCTTGCTTTTCCAATTGCTCTTTAATGGAGACAACTTCATAAGATGGCTCATCAGTGTCGATACTTCTTTTAGCAGACATCTTTATAATGAAGGTGTATGTCTGACCAACCAAATTTGATATTTCAGCTGGAGCATCAAATTTGCCATACATACTCTGCAGCCTCTGGAGTGGTTTCCCAATAAGTTGCTGTGCTTTTTGATCAAAGGCAATAAACTCAAGCTCATATGTTTCATCGGCTGCCATAAAACACAATTTGTACCTGCATTTTAAATCAAAATATATAGGTATTGAGATATTACATTAAATATTGTGCGCTGTAGCTATTGAGTTCATTGTTGTATGACACAACTATAAATGAAGCCATACCTGTCTTGTGCTTCATTTGAAGGGCAATCTTTTTTGGTACACTTGTATCTTCCATTACTGTAGTAACATCCTGTGTTACAAATCTTGCATGCTGAATAGTACCAGCCTTGATTTAGAGATAACTTAGTAATAGTGACAGTGCATTGGAATTTTGTATTCTGTTCATTAATACAAAATAAGGTTAGGTTTTTGGATGAATTAAAAGAATGGTTTGCTAATTAGTCTTAAACCATTACCATTTGTTTAAAAGGGTCCATATCCTTTAGTTGAAGGACCATTTTTTGCTGAACATGTTGCTGCATAGTCTTGGTGTCCGATATTTCTACTTTGTCTACTGCATCCACTTCTGATGGCAACCTGAAATTTCAAAAGCATAACATCTAAACTGTGGACCAATCATTGTAAATATTATTTTTTATGTATAACAAAATGTATCTTACATGCTATAGTACTCTTGGACCGCAGGTATTTGGAAATCATTAATATACCATCGACAGGCAGATGTGCCACTCAAATATGATGGTTGGCCTGCTAATCCTTTTTTCATGAGGGTACCAACAAAGATAGCTACAACAGCTGTTTCTTGTCCGAGGTTGTAAACTTTATCTCCATCAAATTCCATTGCTCTAGCACCGTATAGGAATAAATTGATTGCTATGCCGCTGGGAAAAAAAAAGACACAATATAAATAAGGTTTTTATGAATATAAGACTAAAGCACTATGTTAGTATGCACATGAAGAAGGAAAAATACTTATGTTCTTACTGATTAAAGGATTTTTTGGAGTAAGGTACTACAAAAATTGTTTTGGAACAAAATCAATTTTTCTCTTGAGAAATCCTTAACAATATTACTTACTTGATATCTCTGAGAGTGATTTTCCTTCGCATCTGCATTGTTCCAGCTGTGCGAAAGTTTACAACATCTGACACTTGCGTTATCTGTCCAATGACGTCTGTACATAAAAAGCAGGAGTTTATAAATGTTTTTTCTATATGCTGCAATCTTTAAGGTGACATTTTTTGGAACTCAAAAAATATTTGTGCATACCAAGAAATCGCTCTGTACTTCCTTTGTATTGCTCTAGTTCAGAGAGAGGAGTTAACATATATGTGACCTTAGGGAACATAGATGGCTCCGGTTCCACTGTAATCATTGTTCTCTTATTCAGCCTTAACATATAAGGGTTTGTGACCACCCTATATCCAGGTTTTGCTTGTTCAACTACAAATTTCTTCATCACTACAACTTTCCCTTCCTTTAGCTGAGGTTTTAGAACAGGGATTGAATCTGGTGGTATTTCAACATACATAGATGTGCCCTGTACAAAGAGTAGAGCATGAGAGAAATGGAGAGTAATTTAGGCTAAGAGACTTGAGGTTTAGATATATTTAATTCTATTCAAGATTTGTAGTTTAGAGTATAGCATAGTAAAGCATTACCTTTTTGTCAATTATAACCAGATCTAAATGCTTGATGTCTCCGTCATCTGATTTTCCACGAAACTCCCACATCCTTGATATGCTCACACATATAGTCCAGTGAAATTGTCCAGGTCGTATATCTGACAGTAAGTCAATAGCCATCTACAAAAATAAAAATGAAAGGTTGTATTATGTTTAAGCAGGCATATCAAAAGGTCAGTAATGCATATGTAATGTAATTTAAGAATTACATTACACTATCTTTTTGTTTACGTTTTACAGGTGGGACATTAGCTTTGAAATGCAAACTCGATCGGAGGTGAAAAGGGAAGATGCAAATGGAGACATATAATATAATACGCACGTGTGCCACGGTAATTGGCTGTTTCTCGCTATCGTGGAGAGGATCAAGCTCTGCTGTTATGGGATGAAGAGGGAAGTGGGATGGTGGTTTGCTGAGAAAGGACGAGTGGCAGTAATAGCCTACGGGAGCATGTTATATTTATACACATACTTCTCTATATGTTTCTAGACTACCCTTAACATTTTTTAAAGAAGCTGAAGCGCCACTCATGGAGTTTGTAATTTTTTATTTACCTATACAGCTATACCCTATTGGTAGTTTTCTGTTTTGTGAGAAGGGCAAAAGACAACGATCCTTTCTACAGGGAGTGAAGATAGGTTAAAAATCCTGCTGAGTACTTTTCCGGTTTTCCCTCCTTAATATCAATTGAGACCAGGGGCGGGCCCATATGCATTCAAGGGTATTTAGTTGAATACCCAATTTTTTTGCAAAAAAAAAAGTTTATACATATAGTGTATATTATATATGTATCGGGAAAAAAGAAGGAAATGAAGAGTGAAGAAATCGGCCCACTCTCTACTCCTTTCCCAATCTCCCTCCCCACTCGACGGCCCAGTACGGCCTGCTTCATCTCAGCAGAGAGCTTAGTAGTTGTCTGCCTCTCTCTCAGTCTCTCTGCGCTCTCTTCCGTTTCCGTCACACTCAAACAACCAAAGTACCAAACCCTAGTGCTGAGCGGGCGGCGGCGGCCAGCGTACGGCGGCGGCGAGCGGACGCCGACGGGCGGCGAGCGGGAGACCGAGGTCGGCGAGTCGGCCAGGCGGGGGCACGAGGCTAAGCGCCGAGTGGAGCGGTGGCTTGCGGGCGACGAGGCGAGGCTGCGCGCCGCTGCGGAGTGCGGATGCGCGGACGCGGGCGGGCGGGCTGCGGCCGACGCGCGCCGCGCGGGGCTGCAGCCGGGGCGTGCCGCGGGGCTGTGAGATTGAGAAAAGCAAGGTCCGTCCTATCCTTTTCCTCACAGGAACACACACTTCTCTTGAGTATTGAACATGAAAGGATTTTCTTTTTATCTGCCTAGAATAGCTGAGGTTTTAGAACAGGGATTGAATCTGGTGGTATTTCAGCATACATAGATGTGCCCTGTAGAAAGAGTAGAGCATGAGAGAAATAGAGAGTAATTTAGGCTAAGAGACTTGAGGTTTAGATATATTTAATTTTATTCAAGATTTGTAGTATTAGAATATAGAGTAATAAAGCATTATCAGCAACCAATAATGTATACCTTTTTTTATTTTGTTGCAGTTGTACCAACAGGTGAAGAAACTGAACTGCTAGTTGGTCTGCAAAATGACGGTAACCATAATTTCCCCTCCAATTTCTTTCTTTCTTTTCTCTCTCTATAGCAAATTGGCATTGATTCGCTTTTATATACTATACAAATTTTCCTTTTTTGCTGGTGGCTCATGTTGTGTCCCTACTCTAGGCTACCCCAACTTAATTGAGACGAAAAGGCTTTGTTGCTGCTTTTGTTGCAGCAAATCAGTGTACATCTGTTTGTTCACGCAGGACCAGGTCTAAATGCTTGATATCTCTGTTATCAGATTTTCCACGAAACTCCCACATCCTTGATATGTTCACACATATAGTCCAGTGGAATTGTCCAGGTCGTATATCTGACCGTAAGTGAAAATAAAAATGAAAATGCTTGTTTTTCATGATATACTATGCTTTTTGTCTCATTAGTACATGTCCCATCCTCTTTTTCTATAAGAATTTTCGGACCATTTTTAGAAGTAACTCGTGATGCAGCAACATATAATTGTCCATATGTAAAAACTGGTTTTTTAAGATATATACCAACATTAGGTAATGTTTGACCTTGGCTTTTGTTTATAGTCATTGCGTAACACACTTTGACAGAAAATTGACGACGGTTCAAAACAAATGGCCATTTAGATCCTCTTGTAGTTAAATTAATACGTGAAATTAATACTTTATGGCCGATATTTGAACCTGTTATAATTAGTGCTTCAGTGACATTATCTCCTAGATTTGTAACAATCATTCTTGTACCGTTGCATAAACCAATGGTTTGGTTTATATTTCGTAGAAGCATGATAGGAACACCTATTTTAAGTGTTAGGTTATGCTGTGGAAAGTTATTTGCATTTAAAGAATTCAAGTATTCGATAGGGTACAAGATGTTAGCATAGTTGCATGTTTCAAAACATTTTGAAATAGAATCTGCACTATAGTATTCTTTTTCTTCACCTGGTACGAGTGTTAATATATATGAATTGATATCATCAACTATTTCATTTGTTGTAGTCAATATTGCTCTTTCTTTTAGGTAGGAAGGATTCAAATAATTTTGTTTGAAGTCAGGATATATAATATTTACTAATGCTGGAATTTTTGGCTTCTCGGTGAATAAAAGGAGGTCATTTGGTATACGAATCCATGTTTCTTCTTCATCATTGTCATGCTTAGTTGCTGGTAATTTACCATCTCCTAGATCAAGCAACCAGCTAGTAAATTCTTTTAGCTCCTCTTGTTCTTCTTTACACAGGTTTTTGTTTTGCAATCGCATATTTTCTTTTAGCTTGATCACCTTAACATCTTTCCATAGATAAGATTTTATAATTGATGCATTAACTATCTGAGACCTCGTGCCATATTCTATTACTGGTAATATTTGCCGTAGTTCGCCACCAAGTACTACTACTTTACCACCAAATGGTATTGTGTTTGCTTTCTCATCAGTTTGGCTAATGATATCTCGTAATGAGCGATCTAGTGCTTCGAAACACTGTTTGTTTGTCATAATTGCCTCATTCCATATTATTAATGATGTCTGAATTAGTAGTTCTGCAAGAATAGTTCCTCGTTTGATATCGCATATTGACGTCTCATCAATGTCAAGTGGTATCTTAAATCTAGAATGTGCTGTTCTCCCATTTGGTAGTAATAAAGATGCTACTCCTGATGATGCAACTGTAAGAACAATTTTTTTCCGAGCTCTAAGATATGAGACGATAGTATTCCAAAGGAATGTTTTTCCTGTTCCACCGTAACCTGATACAAAATAGAATCCTGGTTTGTTTTGCAATGCCGATTCTACTATAGTGTTGAAAGCATGTTTTTGTTCTGTATTTAGCTGTTCATATAATATATTTGCTTCTTCCTCTAATTTGTCAATATCATAACTTGTTTCTTCTTCAATTAAACGATTGTTATAACGGTTGCCATATTCGATGCTTCGTCTTGGGAGATTGAATGTCGTTATTTGTACACCATTGCGAGATAGTATATATTTTAGGTCATCCAATAACATGTCACGTAGTTGATTATCTGTTATATGATATTTTATAGGATGATATTTACGCACTATTTGATTTTCAAAGTCATCATTAATCGCCAATTTTTCTCAAAAAAATCCCATTTGTTCTGTATATTGCAAAATAATAACATTGTTACAAAAGGTTGTCTCAATTGATATGATGAAGACCAAGTAGCAGCTTCCTTGAATGTTTGGTACCATTCATCGTCATTATTCAAAAGGCCTCTTGCAGAGCATGCATCTTTGAATGTACTATATAGAACTCCATTATAGGTTTTAATATCATTATAGTTCGTAGCTCCTTTAACTACCATTAGCAACATTCGCAAATAAAATCTTTCCCCTTCAGCTGGGTTTACATAATATAGGCGACCGATTTTGAAACCATGCTTTCTTTCATTCCATTTACGATTTTTTTTATCCCATGTCCATTTTGTTGGGAATTCACAATAGGTTAATTCGTGAGCTTTTTCATATTGTTGGTTTGCTGTGAACCATTCAGTTAACTTTGTTTTTTGAAGATTGGGATTTTTCATCAAAATTTTAAGGTCTTCATTAGATTTGTAAGTAACATTGTTCATCAATGGTAAATGGACGGGCAATCGTTCTACAGGAGGTGTATGATGATGGATTTCAAATCCAAATAATCTCCATAGTGCATCTTGCTCAGATATGTATCTGCAGTCAAGATATTCCTTTATTTCATTTATTGTATTATCTTCTATGTTTCTTGGAGTATCTTCACCTTTTTTTATACGCTGAAACATAATCTTGGCTTTGTCGGGTCCTTCATGTACATAATTACATAAATATTTAATTACTCCACTTTTATTGCAATATTCCACATTTATGTGAGCTTGATACTTTTTTCAAAAGGAGTGTATTATATGGCACAACCCATTTGTTGTCAAGATTGTGGTTTTCTCTAGAAACATAGATTCCTGTATTGCGTCGTCTATATATTGTGAATCCGTTTTCATCAAATTTAGTTTCGTCTTGAAATTCTTTAGGGAAAAATTTCGAGCATTTTCCTTTTTTCATACAAGGACAATTTGGGTTTTTATCTCCACATGGTCCATGTATCATGTGTTCAGCTACAAGCAAATATCCTAATGTATCTATATCTGGGTCAGGGATTTCAGCTGAGATTAATCTATCTATTGTTTCATATGTAACATTTATTTTACTTTTTGCTAACCATACCAATATATGAGCATGAGGTAGACCTCTTTTTTGGAATTCAATGCAATATAATATTGCATCAATTGGACCAAAGATATCACTACTTTCAATATCATGTAATAATTCTTGTAGTTTCATGTGAAATACTCGTACTATTATGTCTGGACGATCGTTAGGTTGCTGCCCCTCCAATAGCATTTCTAGTATCTCTGGCCATTTAGGATTGCAGGTAAATGTTATGAATAAATCTGGTGGACCATACACACGGCATATGGCTATGCCATCATGGTAGTTTTGTATCATGTATCGTCTACTTCCTGTATGGCTCATGGGAGTAATACTCGTTTACCAATTTCTTCACCATTTTGAATGCCTTTTTCTATTGCATCTGTTATGCCTTGTAAATATTCAACTCTTAATTTAGATTGGTTTTTAGCAATGAATAAGAGTCTATCTTCATCTTCACATGCTCGAGCATCAACTATTATTTGTTTGGATAATCTTCCATAACATAAGTACGGGTTAGGCTGATTTGGTCTATAATGTATTTGATATCTGAAATAATCATGCATTGTTAGTCTTTTCTTTTTACCATTACTGTTATTATAATAGATATTAATCTGATATCCTCTTTCTCCATATGGAAATAGCAAAGGATATTGCAAAGCCATGTATGCAGGGTGGTATATTGAGATTTGTTGTAGTCCATGTTCCTTGCTGCTTACAATGATATCTCGTTTGCAATTTTCAGTTGAGTAGTCACCTATTACTAATAATGCTAATTCATCAGTAGTAGGCATTTCATATTGTATAGGGTCATCTTTTTGAGCCCCAATAATATGGACTTTGACATCTATTCCATTATATTGTTGAAGTAAATCTCTTGCTTTTCGAAAAGTTTTTACTAACGGGTTATGTGTATCTAGCATTTCTTTTAAGCCTTGTATGATATCAAGGTCTAAATCTGTACTGTTTGAATCTTCATGTGTTATGGCTTGGAGTCTATTATTTATTTCATGTTGTGTATCGAAAATATATAGTTCAACGAATTTTGGTATGTTATTTGGTTTTGGTGATAAAGATCCTATACGATGATGTATTTGTCCATTAACACGGAACACATAAGGACCATCACCTTGATTGATACTTTTGTCAATATTGCCTCCCATGGATGTGAAACAAAATAGACTATTGTATTGCCTTATTTTGTCTAGAAAATGTTTTGATCTACTACCACCATTATATTGTAATAAGGTGGATAAAAATTCAGGTGGCTCTTTAAAAGGGGGTATTTTAATTTTTCCTTCTCTGCAACATTGTGTGTAAATAACATTTTTTTCTCTATTTCTTTCATGTCTAATTCTTTTCTCGAACCAAAATATAGCTCCACAATATTTGCAAATATTTGAAGCTGCACCATAATATGAACGTTTAGGATAAGATTCTTTTAGGTATTGTATGTGCTCCGGAGATAAATGAATCATACCACGTGGAATAGATAGATGCGCTAATCTTTTCTGTATGTTTATATTTTTTCGCTTTAGTCTATTTTCTTTTGTATTTATGCAAGGTATATTTATATCTTGTTTTTGAATTGAACATGTACTTTCAAGTTTTATTTTCTTACAATGTTCATTTATATCTGATGTGGAATTTAAATTTATAGAACTACGTTTTCTTTCATGTTTATGTTCCAACTTGATTTTCTTTCTACACCTTTCAGAATCATCACTGTCAAAAATAACACGCTTTTTATTTTTGTTATTAGTCATGTCTTTATATAAACAAATATATTATCTGTAAGCAGGCATATCAAAAGGTTAGTAATGTAATTTAAGAACTAAATTACACTAATTTTTCTTTTTTTCTTTTTGCTTTATGTTTTACAGGTGGCATGGTATGGAAGAAACATTATATTGGGAGTTTACACAAATAACTTTCCTACTGAAATGGTGTTTATGTTGGTTATAACAATTTGTTGGGGACATTAGCTTTGAAATCCAAACTTGATTGGAGGTGCAAATGGAGAGATATAATACGCACCTGTGCCACGGTAATTGGCTGTTTCTCCCTATCGTGGAGAGGGTCAGGCTCTGCTAGCACAGGATGAAGGGAACGAGTTTTTCACCTTACGCAGAAGATGAGGGAAGTGGGATGGTGGTTTGCTGAGAAAGGATGAGTGGCTGTAATAGCATACGGGAGTATGTCATGTTTATATTCATATACTTCTCTATAGTTTTCTAGTCCTCTTGACATTATTTTTAAGAAGATGATGAAGCGCTGGTCACGGTGTATATGTAATTTTTTATTTATCTATACCCTACGGTAACTTTCTAGAGTCCTGTACAGCTAGAAGCCCAAAAGAAACTGGCTGCTTCTAGTATTATTTATATGCAGATGCAGATTATCATCCAACGGTTCAGATTTGTCAGATGACATCCAATGCTTCAGATTTGTCAGATGACATCATGATGACGTGGCTCAATACTTTTTGTTTACCGCAACGCGGCTTAAGTCTTTAAAGATTACAATGTACTATATCAATACTATGTTAAAAGGTTTTGGAAACCCATTGGTAAGAAAACAATGCCTGCACATGAAAACTGGGGTAAAATGGTCTTTCCCCTCATAGCTGATGGAGTTAGAGGCCACATCTAACGGCAGTGCTATATATATAGGGAACTAAAAATAAACCCAGTGCTAAATAAGGAACCATTTCAAATTCCGATGCTAAATAGGGAATTTTCTCAAACTTAAGAGGCAACCCATTGTAGAGTTGCCTGTTATGTAGTCTCCAAACTATATGATATTGGGACCGTGTATAAAACAACCTAAGTAAGCCAAGAATAACAAGGTGAGACTTATACCATTGTAGTAATCTAATGGGTCCTTTGGAACAATAATTTTCGTAAGTTCATTCTAGAAGTCTAGTTGGACAATGATAGTAAGAAAATATGATTGCTTTTCCCTTCATTTAACAAAAGCGAACCTCATGATATTAAGCTTCTTATTTTTTGTCTTAATATAAAGTGTTATCTTATGCTGATTGGTATCTCAAGAATCTTTGAGTTGCCTTTATAAATAGAAAAGATAAACAAACATAAGTTAGTTTGCACCACTTAAAAATCATAAAAATGAAATACTATTTGTGGATCTAGGAGTACACATTATCAATTAGTTTTCACTAAAAAAACATATCATTCATTTCAAGTATATCAAGTGGTTTATAAGAAATAAGAATTAAAGCACACGTCATGACTATACCTGCAAAATATCCTATTCTAAGAATAAAAAATTCCATAATCTTATGCGGTAAAGTTTAGAAAGGCGCACACAATAAGCTATAAGATATCATATATACCTGGTGGTCTACCAGTAAATCTTCGACATTCTGAACACAACAACTTCCTTCTTCTGCATTAATAATTTCAATTATCTTTGATGTGTTTGGTCTTTTCTCCTTGTCAATCTGCACACATTGCAAGGCTATTTTGATGCATTGTTTCATTTGCTGGGTATGTAGTTCCAGTTCTGTATAATTTGATGCTCTTTCAAATCTTTTCCTCCAATTACCGAGCACCTATACAATTGCATATATGATAAGTCAGCTAGCTAGAACAATGGTACACTTGCAGAAGCTCTGTTAGTTCATCTTACTTCCTCTGTGAAATTCTGGAAGTCTGTTTCGTTCGGATAGTCCTTGCGACCTTTGAGTATCTGTATGATTATAACACCCAAACTAAATATATCTGCCTTCTTTGAGATTATGCCATTACGTATGTATTCTGGTGCCATGTATCCCCTGCAGTAGACATCAAGAGTTTTGAGACACGCATGCATAATCAATCGAGACTATACTATAAAAGCTAATGGAATTGTTGTGGGGCGTAGCTTACCTGGTTCCAGCACAGTTTACAGTGACAGTGTGCGATTTTTGTTCACCCAAGAGCCTCGACAAGCCAAAATCCGCAATTTTCGGCATCATATTAGCATCCATTAATATATTTTGAGGTTTGAGGTCCAGATGAATAATATCGTGCTTATGAAGGAAATTCAAACCCCTGCATATTCCCTTAATTATCTCGTACCTCTTGTTCCACTCGAGACCTGAATATTCATCTGTAGAAATACTTTTGCTAGACAAAATTAATTTTGCCATAACATATATATAGTAAGAGGCACAGGACACCTTTTGTATGATTATTAAGTGTTGTGATAGTGAATCAGTGATATCTAGTTTGTACTACATTTCAGTGTTTAACTGTGTTCTAATAACAATGTAAACTTCAGAAAATGGGAGAGGAAACAGGTGAAGGATTATATACCATGTTTCATAAAACGTACCTGAAAGATACTCATCAAGGCCTTTGTTAGGCATATATTCGAAGCAGAGTATTCTTGCACGTATTTCAGCATAAACATACCCCTTCCCCTTCTCTATCTCCATGGCCTCCCCCCTTGATTCTGCACAGTGACCTAGAATTCGCACTACATTTTGGTGTTTGATCCCTATAAGAACAGTGGCCTCTTTTCCGAATTGGCCATCGTCCACCATATCAGGAAACTTTTTCACAGCAACAATTAAACCGCATAGGAGACGTCCCTTCAAAGAATTATCATGCATGTTTGATCCATTCATAAATCACAGATGCCAATATTTATTTGAAGATTGAAGCGAAAAGAATTCATCATATTTACCTTGTAAACCACTCCGTACCCACCCCTCCCAAGTTCTTCCTCTTCGTGAAAACCACGTGTGATGGATTTTAAAAAGTCTAGAGGCAAAAATATTGGTTGTTCAGTTGGATGCAGCAGCTTCTTCTCCAACTCCACCTTCTTCTCCAACTCCAGTAGTATCTTCCATTCAGTGGCTCCGCTGTCCATTCCTATTTACACAGAACCTGCTTTTGTCTTATTTGGATGCACGTGTATCCACCTTAATCCACATGTTGTTTGGATGCACACGTATCCACCTTAATCCACATATATTAAAATAGATTGGAGTGAAAATTAGTTTAAGTTCCACTCCAATTCACTTCAACACATGTGGATTGATGTTGATACATGTGCATCAAAAGAAGGTTGATGTAGTCGGATTCACATCAATCCACATGTGTTGGGGTGGATTGGAGTGCGTGGAACTTGAATTAAATTCAACACCAATCCATCCGAACGCATGTGGATTGAGGTGAATCTGACTACATCCAAACTAGGCCTTAGGTGGAAATTACACGTAGAGGCTGCTATGGTATTTTATTACTAATGAAAATATGAGTTCCTCAAACAGGTATATTATTTCCTCCATCTACAGAAGAAAAAAACTAAAGGATCGTTTGGATCCCTTCATTTTGGAGGACTTAAAATTTACTTAATGGATTAGGCTATTTGTGATGAGGACATGACACCTATGGATACGACCATGAAAGTTAAAGACAAGGTGAGCTCGTACCTATGTTTGCATAATGATAAAACTAAAAATTTGTTACTACCTAATATTGGTATTTCAAATGCGCTTAGGAGCAATGGTGATGATGATAGAGAATAGATATGCCATGAACAAGACCGATCTCAAAGTGCAGGTCCATCAAAGTTAAACATTCGGTTCGCCGGTAGCACGACACTACTTCATTGGAAAGGCCATAACACCTTCATCCGGAGTGAGTTTGAGGTCGATGAGCACTTGATGGAAAGATTATTTGATAAGCTTTCAAATGGATCAAGTTTGACCTCAAAATCACGTGGGCAAGGCCTCCAAACCATCACGACAAGTTGCCGCTGTTTCTGCCGAAAGCTGTGGCGTAGTCGTGAGACTATATTCACCCTTAGGACCCTGGACCAAGTTAGAGCACGCCCCAAGGAGATGGAGAACACCTTAGAGATGCCCAAGGACGTCCTCTTCATTGACCACCACCTTAGAAGGCAAGCAAGGGCGTCCAAGCCAGGTTAGAGGCCCAATCCAGGTGAAGTTTGAGTCCATCTCGGGCTCTAGGAGCAGTCTGTAGTAAAACGGATGCTCAGGTCGCATACGGACTCCGTTTTTTACGATCCACATATAGATGAAAAGCTAATTCAATAATCTAACCAATGACTTTGGTTCGAGGACCAAATTCCTTCAGAGACAACAGGAATCGTCGAAACAAGTCAACGTACTGTCAGGGTGCTGCGTCACCATCTTTGGTCCGTTGGGCCGTGTATCGTCATTGAGCCCATTAGGGGGCGCGTCCAGGGTTTGTGACGACCCTAACACCTTATAATCAGTAGCCGCCACCCTCGTTAGGTTTTGGGGGTTTTTTCTTTAGATTAATCTGTCTTTGAACAGTCGCCGTTATCGGTTTGTGAAACCCCACGTTGAGATCTTAATCATACATCTGCAAACTGTCACTTTACTTGAGTTGCATTTTATCTTGTTCCTACTTGTGTTCTTCGATTCGCAGCAGGGAATAGCCTTATTGGTGAGGTCAACCGGACTGTGATACGGTTGATAACCAGAGGAGACGTGGTGCTAAGGTTGCAGGGTTCGGGCCTTTGTGATCTGAAGCTGGATCGGTGTGTCGCTCTCCACCAAATCGATAGTTATCTGAACCTGACGGAAGATCGGAATCCTAGCCCCCATCAAGTGGTATTCAGAGCTTCGTGTAGGTTCACATCTTACCCTTAGTTCAAGTGTTTTCGCCTTCGTCCCATATTCCACCGCCATATTTGTTTCTTGTCCCACAATCATCAGCGCCATAGCCTTTGCATATTTCAGTTTCAGAGTCCATCGTGTTGAGTTTGTGTCCTAGGTCAAGGTCTTATTGCTGGTTTAGATTGTGTTCTTTTCTAGTTTGTGTTGAACCCTCCACCCGCGAGAAGGAAGGAGGAGGAAAGGTAGTAGTTGGAGGAAGGCGAAGGATTGCGGCGAAAAGCCCTCTCTCTTCCCCTATTTAAGGAGGCGGCGCAGCAGTTGAGGAGAGGCGCCCTTAACCGAGGGGACACATCCTGCCTGACGAGACGAAGCCTGGTAGACGGGACGTGGCCTGAGTATGCCCCACCACTACCGCACGCCGGGCGCGGGAAACAAGGCGCAACTGCGCACAGGCGTCCCTACGCTTTCCCAGGCAAGACTTGGAAGGGCCCAACGACGGGATCTCCGCCCAGGAGAGACCAACGGGCTTCCTGAGACGATCGGACGGCTCAGGCGAACGCCGAGAGACAAGTAAGGAGCAGAGGGATGCCCCATGCGGGCCATGCCGACTCCGTCATGAACGACGAGCGCGGATCCTAGTCGGACATATCTGATAGGAGCTCCTCAAACCCCGTCATTCGAGTCATCAAGGTAACATTACCAACCCCACTATTTCTTTATATGATCATTCATTCATCTGCTGTCATTCATACATTCTTACACGCATTCACACATTCATCCATGCGCGTATTTATTCATCACATACATCCGAAGCATCACATATGTAGTTAAATGCATCACAACGCTTCGTGTTGTGTCACGAAACGGTAGTTGCCTCATTCAGCATGAGCAACGACCGACCGGGGTTCGAAGGCCGGCCCATGAAGGGTTCGAGGCCGCCCCGCGTCAAACAGAGCCAGGGGAGAAAACGCAGATGAGCCCCGAGCGGCCCTCGCCCAGTCTGCCCCGAAGTAGACAAGGTCATCTCAACCTTCTCGTTCGATCCTAGCCTCGAGCCATGCCCACAGAATCTCCATCGAGGGAAGGCCAGTAGGCCACCAGGGTCGGTCTTCGGAACGACCCAGGCATCTGTCGGGACGCGGGTTAAGGTGCAGTGGAATACCACATGAGGGCTATGCCGACCCCGTCACGAACGACGGACCCTGATTTCACTCAAACGTACCCGTTAGCAAGCTCACCGAGCGCGTCACTCGAGCCATCGAGGTAAGCGACGTTAGCTCAACCCCTCCGGTTGCGGAAACCGTGGACGGGGTAACGCACAAAACTCAACCAACCCCATCCAAGCCCAACGGGGCTTGGGACGCCCAACACCTCATCACGACCTCGGCTGCGCTTGGATCTGCGACTCCGACTCGCCCGATCCCTCGGCGCGCCCGGCGCCTGGATCCGCAACTCCGACTCACCTGATCCCTTGGCACGGCCGACGTCTAGGTCCACGAGTCCGTCTCGCCCGATCCCTAGGCTGCCCCTTGGCGCGCGCGACGCCCTGGTTGACAACTCCGTCTCGCCTAGTCCCTCGGACGCGACCAAACGCCTGGGACCACGCTCCTGAAAACGATGGGTCAGAAACTGGAAAGAGGAGGCTACGCCCACCAAGTTGCACACATTCGCGCCCCGCTGACAAAACCCCCCAGGCGATTCTGCCCGAATCGCCCGAGGGCTCGGGGGCTACACCCGTGGGTGCGCTCACGCGCACCCGCTGACGAAACAAAAAATTCCCCCGCTGCCAAGACGAAACCCCCTAGACGATTCTACCTAAATCGTCCGGGGGCTACACCCGCGGGTGCACTCGCGCGCACCCGTCGTCAAAACAAAAATCCACTAGACGATTCTACCCGAATCGTCTGGGGGCTCGGTGGCTCATGCCGGGTTCATAAACCCAGGGTCCATCATGGACCTACTTCCCAGCAAAGGCTCGGCCCCATAGACGACGCTACGAACGACGCGCAACTCCCGAACCGGCCCAAAAACCTAACAAAAGGCCAGAAGGGCGATCCTGGCTCGTTTCCGACTCCGGCTTGCCTCTCCGACCGGAAGGCCTGGCCAAGGAGGAACGGCGCTCGCTTCCGACCGGACCTCTTGCACCCCCCATCTTACTTCCTCTCGTTTGTAACCCCACAGCAAACTTTGAGCACCTGAGCTCTGGAATAAAGTCATCGACCGACTCGAATTGGACGTAGGGCACGTTGCCTGAACCAGTATAAACTCTGTGTCATTGAGTGCTAGTCCACGTCCGATCACAACGTACGGCAAAACGATAAATATTTACTAATAGATCACTTTCTGCACCAACAACCGACTTAATTAGAAACACTATAGATGTAGATGCAGACAAAGAAGATGAAAAGTATAGGGCCAGCAGTATACAGATCTAGATTGCCAATATCAGCAGATTCACAGAACTAACCTAGCTTAGCTTGAAAACTGTTGCGCCAGTTGTTGACGATGATATGACTGATGACTATAACTGACTTGAAAACTCCAAAGATAGCACCGGATCGGAAGATGTGCGACTCTGACGCGTCTGCTAGCTGCTTCTGCGTGCGTTTGCATTGCATTGGGGTAGAGAACCACCATTAGCAAGTGAGTAGTAGGAAGCAAAACAAAACTGATATGCTGCTAGCTGTTGCCAGACAATGCTTTCCTAAACGTTAAACGGTGACGGGTCACCTACCGTTTAGCTATTATTCGGGCAAAACAGTCCATTAAACGGGCTAAACTGCTAATTTAACGGGATAAACGGATGATTAAACGGAGACAGCGTACCACTATGTAGCATTTACACGATGTTTAAACGGGCTAAACGACCGTTTAAGTAAACAGTGTTGCCAGAAGAAAAGGAAACTATCGAGTCCAAGCAGCTTACCCACCAAGAAGACAAACAAGCAAGAAAGGAACCGCAAGCCGGACTACCGGAGAGAGGTCGCCGGCGGCGGAGACGATGGAGGAGAACAAGAACTGAAATAATGGAGGGAGGTTCTAGCTAGTGGAGTGGTGGCGACTGTCGAGGTGGTCGACAAGCTGAGCAGTGGGGATGCGGGATGCCAGGCAACGGGCAAGAAGGCACATGCATTTTAACATAGCGTGGGGGCCGGGCACATACAGGACGGTCACCGCGTGGGATCGACAGACTAACCTGCCTTTCTGCAGACGGTGACAGAGTCGTCACGGAAATTCTGAGGAAATTATGCTATAGCGA